AACAGGTTTGGTTTTGATGGAATCTTGGTAACTTCTGTTGAAAGTTCTTTTGGAAAATTAATTAATGCAAACAGGTGCTGACGCATCTTTGCACTCTCTGATTGTGTGTTTCAATCCAGATATTCTTGGGAATTATTATGTTGCATCCTAGTGTGCTCATGCATCTTTTAAACCTTTGGTTGTTCATTTCAATCATTTTTTCCCTTTTTTTTAGTGGTTCTGTTTGGATGAAAGATTTTTGGAAGGGATTTCATGTTGAATAATTTCAAATACTGTCTAAATTACCTTTTTGGTCAACTTGTTCAGGGTTGGGGAGTGAATCATTTAGGAAGGGGAGGAGGAGAAATTTCAGAAAACCAACTCTCAGTTTAAATGTAAGTTTTTGTATGAAAACCAAATAATTGTTGCCAAAGAAAAAGGTAATTTAGAAAAGGGATTTAAATTCTTCGTCAATATGAAATCTCTCCAAAAATATTTTATCCAGACACAACCTAACAACTCAGAGATCAATCCAAAATATACTATTGCATGAACGGATTCAACGGAAGGATATTATATTCAGGAGATCAAACTTTTACCATGTAGTAGATAAAATTTAGAATGGGATGATTTAGCACATCTAAATCTGCATGCTTGTTGAAGGCTGAGATTGTAACCTAAAACACAAACCAAAAGAGATGATTTCTGCCCAGATAGGGACATTAAATTTTGGTAGAACTTAAAGAATTACAGAAATTAAAAATACTTACCACAATGCATCTTATCAAGAAACAAGTACAGCAGATTCCAGTTACAGAGCCAACCTGCCACAGAAGTATGTTAGGCACAATCTTAAAACCAAGACTTCCAAGTTTCTATACATGATTCTAAACCATAGTCCAAGCTCTTTTGATACAGTCGTAGTTCTTCTCTTCTTATTTTTTATATTAGCTTACATTTTGTTTTTGGCAGACTAGAGAACCTACAGATGAAATGCATAAAATTTTGAAACAACAAATATCTTCATGGATTTAGTGGAAGAAAAGGGAAATAATTTAAATTTCAGGTTGAATCAGCAAATACAACAAATTCACTGAAATAATCATATATGATATGATTTCAACAAAGTTTTAAAGGATACTTGAAAACAATGCCTGTAAGAACACTAAGTGTTCAAACTACAAAACACTACTCAACAAACCTCATAAAGCTTTTTTCGACGACCCCTAGATTCAATTGGGAAGCGCCTCAACATGATGAACAACCTAAGCAGCATAATCAAATGAGAAGTAAACATATGGTATAGTGCATGAAACTGAATCTGAAAAGTGTTCTAGAGTTTTACACAGGCTCTCACCTGCCACCATATATCATGAATCCCACAGCAGCAATTATTGAAATAACTGCAGAGATCAGAGAGATTGAAATTCAGTTTCAATAGATTAAAGTTGGTTGTGGCCCCTAATTAACTATCGACTTCTTCAACTTTATAAATAGATTAGTTTAACCATGCTATGGTGTGGCTGAAAACATTTTGGTTTTTCTTTTTTTCTTCAGCTTGACAAATTTAACAGGGAGCAAAAAGATTTACCCGATATGGAAAGTCTAGCAATCTCCACTGCAGCATGACTGTGAGTCAATCTTACAGCAATCCAGATGCAAACCTATCAGCAAGAAAGTGACCATGCAAAAGAAACAGTTGGCATAATGTAACACACAAAAACAGCTTTCAATTTTTAGTTGACCAATACATTAAATTTGTGTTTTACCTGCATGAAGTAAATCAGCCCATTGACACTAAAATATGCAGGCCTTAGTTTATCAATGGGAAGGCTTCGTGCCTAAAATGACAAAATAAATGTGTTAATATCAATTATCTACTTACAAAAGCAACCTGTAGAAGAGATTGTGGCATACCTGGTGATATATTTCAGCCCAGAACAAGACAAGTAAAGTATATGTTGAGAAAAACAGGAGACTGGGAAGATCCAGAAGCACCATTTCAAGCACCTGTACCAGGATTTTATTTTAAGACAGTGCAGTCAAACAAGAATAAGATAATATGTAGAGCGACTTAAGAGGAAATTAACAATCGAACAACTATTACCACAGGTGACTAGAATAATGAAGAAATGTTTGCTTCTAACTTTATAGAATGCAGAATATAGAAATAACTTGGCAACTGGAATTCCAAATAATAAGTTACGGCTCTCTGCACCATGCTAATATTTTTCCACAAATAATCTTACACTAAGAAAACTATAAGGTGGGAGCTCGGTTTGGCACCATAGCTTTATAAAGAAAAGAATACCTTGGGCTTAATAAGAAACACCTTCTTGTAGAAAGCAAAGAGAACAGCCCTCACTGTTAAAACGCAAATAAGAATATTCAGCAATTTTATGCTAAAGCAGAAGGAAAAACTATGGCAAATAGTTTACAACTCTGCAACCCTTACATCCATTAACAAGAAAATTCATCAAGTGGAAAACTTTTTGTGTAGTCCATCCATAGTCTGGCACTCTTAATTGGATACAGAAAAGTTGTACCTGAAATTGAAAGCAAAAGGTCATTAAAATGTAGAATAGTTTAAATTATGCTTATGGTGAGAATGTACAGCAACTAGAAACAAAAACCTTAGTTCAAGGGAAATCTCAACACTATGGTAACTTATTCTTTTCATTGTTTTGAAGATCCATGTTCTTTATCTTTCCCTTTTCTTTTTTGTTTTAGTTTTGGCTATTTCAAAAATAATAATAATAATAATAATAAAAGGTGCATTACTAGAGAGTTTAAATGCAAAATTACAAGAGATGTGAAGTTCTAAATCTAATAATTAGGTCTCCAGAAAATTGCAAGAGAAAAAATAGAACTCCAGGCTGTTTCAGCCTGCAATCCTTCAATTAGGTTAATGTATTTGTACATTTCTTAAGCTTCATATGCAGTTGATTTAAAACAAACTGTGCTCTAGCTGAAGTTGGCTCGACTTGCTCACTGAGATTCTCAGCTAGAAGATTTTTCTTCAAAGAATAATTAAAAGGGGCACTTAATTTGAATGTGATAGTTCTGAAACAAATTGAGTAAAGGGCAAAGTTTCTATTTTGATGGGGTCTGTCTCTGCTTTAAGGTACACAAGTCCCGGGCAGCATGACCAAAAAACTGTTTATAAGGTCAAGCAACAAGGATGTGAGATCAAAACTAACTGACTCACTGTAGCTTACTTGGAGGCATCATGAAGGATGATCTAAAGAAGGCACCAGGATATTTTAAACCTTTAGTTAAAAGTCGACCCCTTCAGTCTAGGTTAGGATGTGGAAAATACAGGAATTCAGTTATCAATCAATTGCAAAGCTAACAATAACAAAAAAAAAGAAAAGTACCAAAATACCAAGATGAATCCAAAAGCAATGTAAGTATAGTCATTGGGAAAAGTGAACAGACATGCTCGCCAAGTTATTTGGATTATAGGTGAGCATCAAAAACCAATCTTACACGTGTGAAATCACATGACTGGCAAAACAAGCTTGGCTTTAAAGCACCATCTCAAACCAAGCTCAACAACTCAGCTCCTACAAAACCTATAGTCTTTAACAAAGGACATTCCCAACCCAACTTTGGATTTGTAGGCATTTTCCTGGAAAAGGTTCTTGGAATTACTTCTGGGGCAAGGCTAAACAAGAGCACTTTAATTTTGGCCAAAAAGGTAAAAATGGAATAACACTTTTCCTAAAGTTAACATTAATCAAGCAATATTTATAAATATCTGATCTCAAAGTCAACCAAACTATGTATTTAATTCAGGTTTCCAACGAAAACCATGGTAAACCCATACTAGGTTGGGAACTTAAGAGAGAGAAAAAAAAAAAGGAAAGCTCAAAAAGAAGGAAGAAAGCATGGCATCAAAAATTTTGGTTTCATGAAATGGATCAAGACATCCAACCAAGTGAAATATATCTCTATAACCCTGATATAGTAATGAAAATAGACAAAACTTTTCTCAATTACATATAGCATACAATCAAGGCAACATAACATACATAACCAAACAAACCTAAATCGAACCATTCAAAAGAACAAAAACCCATCATCCTGTCGTTGTCCACCACCATTCAGCACAAATTTATCAAAGGATATCTCAAGAAATTAATGAAATCTAAAAAAAGCTGCCAACTTTCTACAAACAGATAAATAATCTAAAAACAAGATTGAAACTTTCCCTAAATATTAAAGACCCAGAATCAAAAATGGCAAAAAATTACCAAGGCAACAAAGGAAACCAAGGCGTAGGAGGCACACAAGACGTAGAAAATACCCCGCTGCCATTTTTCTGATTCATCGATCTCATCCCACCAATCAAACACACCCCCGTTGTAAGACATGAAATCTCCAAGCACAAGACTGTTTAACCTCATCGTTACACTCTGGGGAGGCATGGAGAGGGGAAAGACAGAAGGAGAAGGGTTCAAAAGAGAGAGGAAGGTAGGTAGGGCAGCGTTCGAAAGAGAGATAAGCGCTGGAGGGTTGAGGAAGGAAGGAAGGAAGGACACGGTGGAAACGAAGTGAGAGAACACGTAGATGCCACGTGTGTAACTGAAACAATTTTTTTACTACTACTTAGAATATAATTGTTATTTATTGCAACGATGACAACTGGTTGGCGCTGTCTCCACTTGAGTTGTTTGTCTTTATTTTTTTTGTCCTTTGTACATTATGAACATTTCATTAAATCCAAAATATTTTTCCCAAAAATCAAATTTAGTTTTCGAGAATGAAAAATTAGAATCTTTTAAAAATCTTAAGATATTTAATAAAATTTATCTAATATTGGATTTTAGAATATAAGTTAAACATATATCTTTAC